TAATCGGCTATATTCGGCTATAATCGGCTATGTTCGGCTATAAGTTGCAATAATTCCAGTTTTCATGCGATTTTAAAGTCGCGATCTAGACCGTTATGATTCGAAACATTTGATCCTATATATCTTTGTTAGAATTACTTTTTAGAATTTTATTTAAGAGATAATAATTTAAAAACTAAAAATATTAGAACTCGAATTGATCCAATATTATTTTAAACATGAAAAAATATAATACTATATCACAATTATGATAATATAACGAAAAATTTCTTTTATCCATAAGTTGTTCCAATTACAATCACGAAAAGTTGTAGGAAGAAAATTACGAGTGCTACGAGCTAGAAGAAGTTGACGACTTCTAATTTCTGGAAGAAAATGGTCAGAGGAAATGGAAACGAATTGAAGGAAAACGAAACAAAAGTAAGTTTTGTCTCGAGTTTGGCAATTTTACCATCATAAGACAATAATTACCTTTACTTATTTTATTTCTGAGATTGAGGGGGAAGACTTGTGCATTTTGCTGAGCCAGTAAAGTGCTCAGGAAATAAATGAGTGGAAGGAGAGAAAAAAAAAAGAATATTGAGAGAATACGCCGTAAGATAAATGATATCTGCTCACTTCTCTGCATTTACAAGAAAGGAGATTAAGAAGATTGTTAGACCTGCTCGTGACTTTGCTCGTTTATTTTTCCAAAGATAATTCGATAATTGATGCAAGGTAATTTTTTTATTGAATTCGTTATTAATAAAGCATTTTTTTGCGTTATTGTTTAATACATCGTTATTCAGATTACGATTAAATTTATATTTAATTCAAATTACTTTAATTCGAATAAGATTAAAAAAAATTTTTTTGTGTAATTCTAGTTCTATTTTAAAAACTTTTTAAAATTCGTAGAAATATTTTTTTTCTTATTTTTAACACAAGTGATATATATTTAATTAAAATCGTAAACGTTTTAAAATTTTATATTTTATATATTATTTTCACTTGATTTCAACTCAGAAGTGCTCTTTGTTTGTAAACAGACTCTTGAATTAAAAACCAGTGAATGAAGATCATATTCACGAGTTTCACTAAACACTCTATTGAATTGTTGTCGAATTTTCAATGACATAAAATTGATATAAAATATATATATCTTTTATAAAATATATATACAAGTGGACAGATTGAAGATTATAATTTGAGATTCTTGGTATTGAAAAAGAGATATTGTGGAGAGAGCCAAGTGAAGAATATAGATATAGGAAACTAGTTATCTAGTGAAATTCTATTCAGAAATTAGTTCCTTTAACACGCTATGGTTTCAAGATTTGGAATTCTACGCTTTGAACCTTCAATCGCATTCTGACGTGAACTCCTCGTTAATCCATGTCGAGATCAACTTTGACAAATGGGATCAGGCAGAATTGCTTTTGGAACGAGGCTATCTATGATGTAATTTGCTGCATTCCTTGATTTCGGATATACTCATCCTACTCATTCTATAATTGGTTTCGTTCAATTTTTTTTCTTTTTTATTTTATCCAAAAATATGAAACAGTGAAGAAATATATATTATCATAAATACAAGCGATGATTATTTCTCTAAGTAAAAATTGTAATACAAATCTACTTTGCTTGTTCTATTTACATACATGTTTTTTTTTTCTTTTTGTGATTTTCGACAAGAAAAAGCTAGTGGTAGTTGGGGAATACATAGAAATTTTCATATGTACAATAAAGGAAGATTCGATCATTTTAATCGCAGGAATTCAGCTATCATTTATTTAAATAGAAGAATCGAAATTTAATTTCGATATCTTCGATATCACGATGATTCGATCGAATACCGATTTTTCTTTCTATTTTGCTGAACATAGAACAGTTTAAAGTTAAAATAAACGTATCGATATCGATTTTTTTCCAATAGTAGAGATGATTACTTGTAATCGTAGACTTATTAAAAGAAAATTTTAAAAACCAATTCTAAGTAGTCAATACAGAATTGGAGAGATAGCCACAATTAGGACCAAGTTTTTCCTTTTATTATATTCAACAAAACTGAATCGATAAGATAAAATTTAAAATATTCCACTTTTTCTGATTAAACAATCATATATTTCGAAATTAAAAAATTCAAGCATTAGAGTCTTGCCATTAAAGCCGAGAACACGCCATCTATCGGCAGAAGTCGGGAATGGTTACGAGTCACCAACTGAATTAACCAATTAGCCACAAGTTAGATAAACTTCTCTGTGCAAAGACAGCGCAAAAAGACCAGTTATTCCACATAGTCACGAGCAATCCGTCCTGCAAAAACACATCTCATTAATATTCGCCTCGAGACCACGTCATTAGAGCCACATCTAATTACCATTTCAACCTAACCTCAATTATTCCAATCAAACTTTAAGTATGTATGTGTATATATATATATATTCGAGATCAAATTCCAATATGAAATTTCAGTTTTTCTTTAATTCGACGAGTTTCGAGCAATTTGTTTCTCTTTGTTGAAAGTAACGGACGATGTTCCTCCAAACTTTTTTTCGCTCTCCTCTCCTCTCTTTTTTTGTGTGTACGTTTATCCGTTTCCAACGGAAGTTGAATGGAGACCACATCCGGCTAAAGTTTCGACGAAAACTTTTGTCTGTAGAAAAAATATATCAGTGTCTCTATAAATAGCCATTGTACAACTTAATGCCGCGGTTCAACATTTTTGCTGGCTCGTTTTAAAATTGAAGATGGCGACGAGCGAGAAACTGCTATTTCATAATTGAAGATATTTGCGTTTGTGTGTTTATTATTTAAGTGGATATAGTGAAGAAGATGCGAAGTGATAAAGGAAATGGATAAATATTATATTTGTTTGTTTTTTAGTTGTTGTTGTACAATTGGAAGATCAGAAAAGAATTTTGCATATTGTAATAAATAAGACTACGTGAGTATTTATTCATATTCGAATTATGAAAATTAGAAGATTCAAAAATTTATTTATGTAGCGTATTGCAGAAGTAAAGAGAATGAAATTTGTTATTAAATATTTTTCATTTAACACGTGAACAGACAAAATTTTCGTTGATTAAAAATAATCTTTTTTTTCTTTTTGCTTTCGATCGAAGAAATTTTCACTCAAATCTTTGCAAAATAAAATAAATTCGATTACAATTAATCAAGAAAATAATAATAATAATAATAATAATAATAATAAATAATCCTTATTGGCGTGAAAGTTTCTTCGTCGCAAAAATCGAGCTAATATTTTTTTTATCGACAGAAAACATTCTTCTTTGATTAAACACGTCGGGCGTCGTGATGGCGTCGAGAAAGAAAAAAGAAGAAAAAAAAAAGAAAGAAAAAAGGAAGCACAGCCAACTTTAATATCGAAGCTAAGTGACGTAGGTTGATGCGAAAGAGTTCTCTCTCTTTCTCCTCTCCTTTAAAAAATAATCCGTGTCTTGAATTAGAAACTTGTTCAATCGTTCAACGCGTGACTGAGAAAACGCATACGTTCCTCAAGGGTTGAAATTGCTTCTCTACATGTATAGAGTCTCGTGTATAATGTCACTTGTAAATATACAAGTAAGTAATTAATTATACTATTGTAAAAATATCAATGTAATATAATTAATAGATTTATTAATTTTTCTTTTTTTTTTTTTTTTTAGATGATGGAAAATATTCTTTTCAACGATGCTTTGATTATTGAGGTATTGAATATCGATAAAAGGTTGCTTCTTTTTTTTTCTACTATCTCAAATTAGTTATTCTTTTTTAAGTTAACTCGAATTATAAAAAAAATGGTTTTTTTCAGAACCATTTGATAAATTTGATGAAAAAAAGATACAATGGTACAATACAAAGTTTTACAATACAAAATAAATAAACTACACTTTCTCACTTTCAACGTTTGCTCCTTCTTATGTTGTGAAATTTACCCTCTGGTATAAACTATTTTTGTGAACCAAATAACCGTGTATCTAACAAGGGTACGAAGGAGAATCTCGATAAATTGCAAGAAAAGTTGGTGTAATGTTGATGAAATATGGTGGAGGGTGGCGAGTATGGTTTTAAGTTTACGACGGACAGAGCATCCCCCTGTTTTAAAGATAATATCCAACAAGAGTAACGAAGGTCTTGGACCCTTAGAAGGGTCGCAGAATCCAAACATTGTGACCTTGCATGTTCAACTACACGAATAACACGAAAGATTAAAAAATTAATAAAATAATAGAAGAAAATTAATGAAAATTAGAAAAATAGAATTAATAAATTAATAGAAATATATATACGTCGATTGAAATTCATGAATATCGAATATATCGTGTTTTAATGAGGAATATATTGGATTTTCGAGAGAGTGAAAATAAACTTCAATCTAATTCTCTATAATTTTTTTTTTTTTTGTTATACACTTCTTTGACTAATTGAATATAGAATAATTTATCAATGGGCCACTGGATGATACTTTCCTTTGTCCTATGTGACCCATAAGATATTTTAACACAGGTGACTGAAAAAATTTAAGACAAGACCATTTATTTAACAGGTTATAAATTTAAATAATATTCATAAAAGCTAAGCACTTTTTTAAATTTGCAAAATTATGTTTGTAGGTATAATTAATTTTAAAACTCGTTGTCAAAAATATTTTATATCCATGTATCTTGTCTCACAAATTCGCATGAAACATTCGTGCAAAAATTCACAAGATGTATCAAAATCGAGGAATCCTATCCTCGAATATGTAAAAACTCGCTCAATCACTTTTAAGTTAATCAAGAGATCTAGCACAGCAAATAATTTTCGTTCTCCAACCGTGAAATCTTTTATTAACATTTATTGTTCGCTCTCAATTTTGGGCTTGATTTTCTGAGTGAACTGATATATCCAGAGAATCCGTTCCGTTTTCCTTTTCCTCGCGAAAAGGAAGGAACAGTAAAGGGTAAACATTGTCGCAGTATCTTCTTCGTTTGATCTTCTTCCACGGTGCAAAAAACTTTCCTTTCAGTCAAAATAAATGTGGTCGTCGCTTTGAATTTTGTGCTCGATTGCGGACGGTGGATAGATGGTTTGAGTTAATAGTTGAAAATTATGAAATCTGTGTGTTTAATTTTTCTCTGATCGTAATTAAATTTATCGATCATTGCTCCTGATTGATAATAATAATCAAATAATAATATAAAATAAGAAAATGAAATTATTAAGCAATATTAATTATTAATCAAAATATTCGTGAATATCTGACAAATTATTAACACTTGTTATTTGCTTCAACAAATTGTTGATTATACTATTGATCATATTAAAAATTCTCTGACTGTTATTACAACTGGCTTATTTTCAGTTCTGTATGATTCATAATTAGTCTATCTATCTAACAAAAAATTATTGAAAATATGACTATTATTGTGTCAGTAGAAATGAAATGTACGTTCCCAAGATATAATTTGAGAGATAATTCTTTACAATTGGTGGCAAGACACTTATCTTTTTTTTTTTCCATTTTCGAGATTACTACATCTCCTTTTTGTACGTGCACTCGTGTATATATTTCCAATGAAAAATTGTTTCCATAATCCTCGAATCGATACACCTTCGAAAGAAATTCTTTGATTTTACGATTTTACAAAAAAAAAAAAAAAAACGACCCTTTCCAAACAACAATCGTAGCAGCACGCAGACACGTGACAATAACTCGGGCGAAAATTCTCAGAGTATCTGGAAAAGTCGTTATTCCTTGCCATTGTGTCGCATTCGATCTGTCAAAGGGGTTGCATCTTCTCTCTATCGTTCCTCTCTTATTTGAGGCAAAGAAAATCCGAAGAGAAGCGATCCTCTTGCATTCGTCCATTTTTTTTTTCCACGAGAATTGTTTTTGAATTGTTTCAAGTTTTTTTCTTCTTTTTTCAGAACATTGTTATAACATAGAATCATTTCTGTTGAGTTTATATCTGTGTAAAGATGCGACTCAAATCTTGTATATTTATGAGTGAATCGGATGTTGCCTTCTCCTCTTTTTGAATACGATATAGCGAGCTCAATATAGTGGAACAAAGGTATATATTTGCATAACATAGTTTATTCTTATTTCTTAAATATATTCTTTATATTTTCGATCAAATCTATATTTCCCTTTAATTTATTTGTATTTTTTCTTTTTTTCATAGAAATGTTCGTGGGATATAAACTTAAACTTGGAAAGAATGACAGTAGCAACTGATTAAGCGTATTCCAATGGTACAATGAGAGGTGCAGAAATATGGTTGGTTCTATGGTTGATGAAAAAAATAATTTCAAATGTAAAAATACAAGTGTGTAAAACAAATTCTGATTGTTTCGATGATAATACAAACGATAATACAATTTTTTACAATCAAAAAGAAATCGAACAGCGCACGAAATGAATCTTCACAGAAGATAAATCAATATCTTTCTCCATTCGTCGAAGAAAAAAATGTTATTAAATACAATAATTAATATTAGAATCTGATTAAAATAATCGAGACATTATTAAACATTGAACAATTAAACGAGAAAACAAGTGCTTGATTCCATAAGAGAAAAAAAAAATATATATTTAAAAGTCTACATCTATCTCTCGATTCTCCAACAAATGGATAACATCGTTAGCACGAAACGAGCACGGTGCACCACAATCGATGCTGCAAACGATTCGAGCAGCTTCCAGGGACAGAAAGGCACCAAGTTTAATCTAGCCTGTGCAATCTTGTCTAAACGTATCGAAATCCGGTCGAATATAAATCACAGGGGTGAAGCGTATCCGAAAGCGAGCCATCATTTATTCAACGTTTCGCCCCTGATCCCTAGTTAACCTGGAGGGAAGTGGAAGTGGACTTCCTGGACACCTGGAATTCCCTCAGCTTTCTTCCATTCCCTCGTAGTCGTGCCAAGGGATTAGTTAGTGACAAGCTTTGCTTTGTAATAGCCAGCTTCTCACCCCCTTTCGACACTCTAAAAGACGTCGTAAAAGAAACGGATAAACAGTATTGTACACTTTGTGATACAAGATTTAGCTTTATGGATAATCTAATAAGGAGGTTGTTTCGTGTTTTACGAGCACGCAACTTGGCTTATTGTCGGGACAAATAGTTGTAACTTTCAATTGTTATTCTCGTTCAACGTGGGAGAGGTTTTCTGAAAGTGTTTGGTTTGGATAATTTGAGGTAAAAGGGAAGAGAGGGTTTCAGTTTAAGGGATGTGTTATTTATCAGACAAGTGATTTGTGATTGAGTGATCGATCTGTACTACTTGTTCCAACTATAATTGATTTATTTCACTTGTCTGGTTAGGCCTGAATTATCGATTGTTTCATTTTTCTGATCGTGACAGGCTTATCCCATTTGTAATAACAGCCACTGTCCATTTGTCTGGCATATGATCGATCTATATTACTTGGTCGAGAATGATTGATTTATTATTGTCTGATCATTCAAATTCTATTTTCATAATAAAAGCATCGTTTAATTCAAACAGTTAAAATTATATGCATTACAATGCACGTAGAACAATATTCTAATTGGCACAGCAATGGTTGTGAAAAATTGTATTCATTTATCTGGATGTACAATTATGTAGATTTTAGGGATGAAAGTTTTTAGGTGAACACATCATTTTCAGAAAAATGATCCACCTGAGATGGGTGAAAGTCATGCGTGTATCATTTATGCAGAGAGGCGAGCAAGTTTAAGGGGCAAAGATACATTTTTACAAAACTTTTAATTCTTTTTCTAATTAAACATGAAAAATTTATACGCTGCTACTGTGATGTTAAAATAAAAAAAAAAAAACAACAGTTTGAGACAAACAAATATAATTTTTCTCAAATATAATGAAACGTATAAAATATTATAAAAATATTTCTAATTTCTAATATTTTCAATAAAATCAACTTCTTTCGTTACCATTATGACTAACAATAAAACGATTATTAGAAATAAGAATTACGATTAATGAAAACATTCAGAATTATTACGAACGATATACTAAGCAAGAATTATCATTTTAAACTTTCTGCCTGATACATCATCGTCCCACTTAAACGGAATAATTTTGCGATATTTCATCCGAAATGCGTTTTCGCATTGCAGATTTTAGGCGAGGGAGAGGATTAAGCGACATTTTTTTTTTTTTTTCGTAGCTTTCATCAATCATCGGGCATCCAGCATAGGGGATTGGATCGACGAGGTTGACAATGAGGTGGCGATTCTTCCCTCGAATATGTCAGCCATCCTTATCTTCTAACATCAATCACGCGTTTAGGATTAATAGCCGTGGATGAAGCAGCGATTTTCACGATTACAAAACTGACAGATCCTCTTGCTTCGTTCTTATTATCCCTCCCCCCCGCAACAAATATCATAACATGGATCGAATGAGAAGATTTTGAACTATTTTTTAATTCTTTAATGTTACCTTTTGAAAATTAATCTTTATTTTTTTATCTTTTCATTCGTGGAGTAATAAATCTCAATTTTTTTTTTTCATTCAATTTAAAATCAATCTGTCTTTGAGATATTAATCTACCTGTGCATGAATATTTACATCGATATTTCATTTTATCTACATTTTCGTTCTTCCTTCTTCCTGAAATTTAAAATTCAAAATCCATTCTTCACAAATATCTCGAATTCGCGAGATCCAACGAGTAATTCACGAAACTTTCGAAAATTCCACGAGTATAATATTCTATGCAAAAAATTGTGGAATAAACAATATATAAATCTATGATAATGTCCAATTTCACACACTTTCGGAACCGGAAGATTGTCCTTCCGCTCCTTGATTAATCACAGTTTTCTTCTCTACCTTCCTTGCGAGAGAAAGAGAGAGAAAGAACGAAACAATTTCTCAGCTCATAAAAAGCCAATGCTTCTGAAGATGGAGGATCTTCTTATTAGAGATATTTTGGAAAATTGATCTCTCCATTGGATTATTCGATATGGACAATGAAAGGCTTTAAATCGTAATTGGAATTGGTGGAAGTTTCGTCCTTGGTTGTAAATAACGATGGGTTCTGATAACCGAGCAGTTTCCACGATGAAGATTCGTTAGGTTGTTCTTTGCAATGTTATGGTTGAAATTATAGTGGAAGAAGGTGATGAAGAATTTGTATAAAAAAAAAAAAAGAATAACAATTTATTGTTTTCTTATTTGTAAAGTGATCGATTTGAACTACTTTCCTCGATGAAATTATCGAGTGTACTACTGATCTGATCAAATTATTGACTCTGTATACTGTCGATTGATTCTTGATTCTGTACTGCTTGTTTGATAAAATTATCGATCGTAAACTATCGGTTTGGCCAAGTACTGTTGACCTATACTACTTGTCTGATAAATTTACCGATGTACTACTATTTGCCCGAATAAATTATTGATCGTGCGGTCCGATTAATTTTTGATTATACTACTTGTTTGGCAAAATTATTGATCACACATTATCAGATCTCACCAATGGTTAACCTATTTTTATTTGTTTATTAAAAAATTAT